TCATAAACAAAGTGCCATTTAAATTTAACGGGAAATCATATCAAATAACCCTTAACCCTGGAGTATCATTATCATGTCATTAGAACCTCATCTCGTTCTGTATCAATTCCATATTTCACGTGGTAATGAGAATGGAATACCATCTTCTATTAAAAAGTGGGACGTAAAACTCCATTCCAAAATATTTTATTTCAAAAGTTAGTTTTAATGAAATGAAATGAAATGAATGGAGTTTTACGTCCTACTTTTCTGCACCATGTGGGCTATAATGAAGACGGTTAGTTTTAATGACTGCACACATAACTTTTTAGATCGCGTAAAATAACAAAATATACGACAAATCGTATTAATTCAATTTTCAACAATTCGGTAAAATGAAATTGATTTGAAGATTTGTGGTTATTGTGCACAATAGGGGACATATTACTCTGATGGTATAATGGATAAGAATTTTATATTAATTTGAGAATTTGGTTATAGATCACACAATATAGTGTACAACGAGGGAAATAAAAATAACGATAGTGCAGTGAATTAGGATTTCATATTAATTTGAGAATTTGGTTATAGATAACACCATATAGTGTACAACGAGGGAAATAAAAACCACGATTGTGCAGTGGATTAGGATTTCATATTAATTTGAGAATTTTGGTTATCAGAATACCAATCTGATTGTTGGCGCTCGCTAATGTCTTGTTTTACACATTAAAAAACCTGAAAATTTGAAAGTATGAGAACTATATTTTAAAAAAGGCGATAAAAACTAAAACAAACAGCCCGATCGGATGAAAAACAAACAATCTTTTCTCCTCATCTTTTCGTTTCCGTATCATTTAACACAAATTCCACAATTTCACGTTATTCGTTTCGTTTTACAGATTCGGGTGACAACATTTTAAAGTTATCGCCATGTTTGTTTTATGGTTGAAGTCAATTAATAGATTTTCCATGCCACTGAAATCACTAATCTGGTTTTCTCGAGAATTTCTTCAATTGAAATACCAGATTTTGTCATGAATATTAGACATGTAAATATTTTATAATTAATTCTATTAATTTCTGTGAGAAGGAGAGAAAATGTAACGATTTGATTAAAATCTTCTACGATGTTCACATTAAAATTAAATAAACGGAGTTGTACGTTTTGCTTTTCACCACCGGAATGAGTTTATAAAAAAGAGCAACGCCATACAGTCTGCAATGAAGAAAAAGTGTTTACCAGGACAACGGCATTAGCCCCATTCTTTTTCGAATTCCAAACGATCAAGATTCTTATTCACTGAACCGACGCGCCACCTTTGTACAAATCCGGGGGAGAGTAAATCCCGGTGTGACTAAAACGCACAAACATGCAATCAAGATCAAACGATGGTAAAAAGTACAACAGAATGAATATTAATATAATAAACGTCGACTGTTGGCTGCGAGTGAGAATTTTCATTCATTATTAATTGATATGATAATGATTCAAATAAACCACCGTATGAAGAATTTCGATTTTGCTCCAAACTCACTCGTAAAAGGTATTTGTATTCCGTAGTACCAAGATAGTCAACGCTTAAGGCCCGTCAGTCCCAGTCCTGTGCTTTTTTTAGTCTTGATAGATATTTTGTCTTGTTATAAATTTTTGGGTGTGCGTGAAAATTGTATTTTTTTTTTATAAAATCTTTACGGCGTAGTATTCTAGAACTTATTATAAAAGATCGAAAATATCTATAAAATGAGTATAAATATTTCAAAATGATAAGTTCAATTCCGATCTTTGAATTCGAAACACCAATTTCAGGGAAAATCAGATTGTGTTTCGTTAATACATTTCTAAGTAAAACGAAAATTTCCAAATATATCGCTAAAAGGGGCTGACATGGAAAAAGCGTCTAGTCGTTCGGATGGGACAATAAACCGAGGCCCCGTGTGCTACAGGCTGTGCACGTTAAAGACCCCTCGACAGTTGGAAATCGAAAGAGAGCAGGCTAATGCCGCTGTCCTGGCAAAATTTCCCTCATGGCACCCTGCATGGCGTTGCCCGTCTTCATTAGCCCACAAGGTGCAGAAGAGTAGGACGTAAAACTCCATTCATTTCATTTCATTTCCAAATATATCGCGCCATTGAACGTTATTCTGAATTCTGAATAGAAGACAGTTGTTTTAGATTATAAAAGAAATAGTAAACTGATGTTTTATTTATTTTCAAGGAATTAGAAATAATATTTATTTTATTAAAATTAATTCTTTATTTCCTAAATAACATTTGTAAATAATTAGAAAACGTTTAATCATTTTATAATATTATCTTAGAAACAAATTTATTTTAACATTCGCAACTGACCGAGAAATTTTAATAACTGACAAAACAGTAATAATGTTTAGGATACTGTTTCTTTTAAAAAAATTATAATTTATGTATCCTGGATATGTTTTCGATTTTGGAAGAAAACCTGAAATCCTGTTTATTAGTTTGTTTTCTCTGATAGTTATTGTTGGGATTGGAACGTCTAAACCAAAGATGTGCACCCTGCCTTACGCCTAAACAAAATTTTATCTGTCTTACAGCCTAAAATGCCTAATAATTGGCTTTGATATGTCATATTTCGATGACATTTATTTTATTTTTTAGGGCGTTGTCTTCGTTTCCCTTATTGCACGAAACATGGTGCGGGTCTTCGGAACTCAATCGAGAACACGAATACCAGAACGCAATACTCATTTCATAATATGCAACTCTGCAGCACGAATGAATAATATTTGTAAAACATTAACAACTATATTTTACTGGAGAAATTCACAAAATCAAAATAAACACAGTGTTTACTAAACAACATCTTAAAATTCTACAAACAATAGACAAACAGTAGAATAATTAGTTATTTTAATTTACAGTTCGGGTGGCATCTTATCAAATTATATATACATGTATAGTGGTAATGAATGAAGAGAGAGAGAAAGAAACGACTATATATTTTACAAGGATAATAACTTAGGTTCACAGTTAAGGATCCTTTCTACCAGGTAGTCCTTGGACAAACCTCTTTGCATTGATTTTTTCCAGATTATCCGTACCCATTTACAGCTTATGCAAATGGAATAATGACAAAAGATTACTTCCACACGCCAACCAAAATAAAAACTCACGATCACCATTTGTAACCAAGCAAACGACGTCATGAGAAGTTCCAACGATCTATAACCGATTGCTATATTTTCAAAAGTTCCATCTTATGACGTCGTCGTTATCTTCCCGCCAAAAACCTTGATAACGTTTAGATATATAAATCAATTTGGAAATTTTGTACTAGAGAAAGTGACAAAATTTAACATTTTGCTACATTAAACGATTATTAATATCACGTCATCATTAAAAAACTTTCAGTTAAAAAAACTTGATAACTTTTGCTTAAAATCTTGTAGCAATTTGTATATTTTGCAATAATAACGTGACAAATTTTTCAAACATTTGTCCCAATAACATGACGTCATCGTTATAAAATTTCCCACCAAAAACCTTTGTAACGTTTTTATCATAGTATGCAATTGTATGTATATTGTAGTTATGAAAGTAACAGATTTTTGATATTTGTAGATTTTAACCTGTATTTTATATTCGGGTTCAGTAAACTAAACAGGTAGTCTGTGGTTTTAAAACGAACAGGGAATTAGAATTCTCTCTTGCGATTAAAAAATTGTTTAAAAAAATGATAAAAGCCATTACGTTATCATGAAATAAAACTGATAATTTTTACATCATTTCTGTGTGTGGCCTAGTTTCTTTAAATCTTGTCGATTTTCAACTACAAAGTGTAGACGGGATTATAATTAGTCTTCCTAAATATCTCAACATAGAAACCATCGACCTTTAGTTTGTTAAACAGTTTGAAATGTGACCCCCGGGCAGATCCCGTGGGGTTTGAGTAGATAGCTTTTCTTACATTTTCTTTAATAAATAATCATTCTATTATTTACTTGTCTTGTTTCGAAATATTTTACCACCGGTTTTACCACTTTTTTTACCACTTACTTTTACCACTTCTTTTTACCGAATACTGGAATTTTAATATACTTTATTGCTTGACTACATTTTATATTTTACTAGGATGCACGACTTTAAATTCTTTTAATGTATTCAATTAGATTCATTAACTTTCTCCACTGAATACAATTAACAAAATATTATTTAAACAACTTACTCAATCTTACAAACTTATATATATTTCGTGTTCTCTTAGATTTAAGATAGAAAATACAACTTTAACAATTATTAAGTTCGATACTTTTATATTCATTGATTATAATTTACATTATTAATACACAATATATAAGATATAAGATATAAGATATAAGATATAAGATATTTAGTCTTTTACTCATTAACTAATTTCATGCTTTTTTCATTGAAACAATCTTACAAGGATTTCCAAATGCCCAGTTATTTTTAATATACAGAAAACCCGCTTAGCTGAAAAGTCTGAAAAAATGTGCATCCGAGTAAGAATTTGAAATATACAGAAAAATGAATAAATATTGGAGAAGTTAGGACTCTGTTATTTTAAATCTTAAAAATTTGAATAAAATATAAAAACTTACCTATCGGTCCAATATGGATAATGCATGGGGCTGAATGCTTCTGTTTGTTGTCGGCAGGGAAAGGCGAAGGGTCCGGACCCCGTCACTGTACCATAGTCATTGAACTGGGGGTATGGGGTCGGGTTAGGGGACATCTGAACTCCTGATGGTTGCATCCCAGAATAAGGGTTGATAGTAGATGGAACTCGCTGACAGGAACCGTAGTTATTAATATTTGACATGGACGACATGTTGTTTTGTGAATTATTATGAGATGTTAAACTCCAGGGTGAATATTGTGAATACTGAGAATAGGGAGACGAGAGGTAATTCTTGGTGAAGGCGAATTGATTGAAAGCGCAACTGGAGTCAGCAAATAGAGGTTTAGGAAGTGATATAGCCGGTCTGTAAGGCCGCTTCATTCTTCTTCTACGACGATAATTTCCCTTTTCAAACATATCTTCAAACGCTGGATCCACAGTCCAATAATTTCCCTTCCGTTCACCTCCCCCTTCTCTTGGAACTTTTACAAAACATTCATTTAAACTGAGATTATGTCGGATTGAATTCTGCCAGCCTTTTTTATTTTTTTCATAATAAGGAAATTTTCCTACTATAAAATTATAAATCCCCGACAAAGTTAAACGTTTTTCTGTTGATTCTTTGATGGCCATTGCGATGAGGGCGACGTAAGAATATGGCGGTTTGGTGTTAGGGTCGGTATGTTCGTTCACATTATCTTTCACAGAATCTTTGCTCTTCTCCGAATCTTCGCTTTTCTTTTCTGGAATATCTTCAGGAATTTTGTCATGTTTTGATGCTTTGATGTCCAGATATTTAGAAGAATCTAACGGTTCCATTTTAACTCCCGGTCCGGTGCTGTAAAAATCCTGGTGATTTAGATTCAGTTTATAATCCATTGTACTTAGATTCATGGCGGAATTTTGATTTTCTAAAATCACAAAAAAACTTTCCGAATTCTTGAAAAAATCTAACTTCGTTTGGAATAAAAATGATAAAATTGTATTTAATTATCCACTACGAAAATTCCAAGAGTTTTGCATATGTAATAAGAATCAATTACTGTTATATTTGTGGAAACTCCGATTTGTTCCTCGTCTGCGAATCTAATCACCAAGTCAAATGTCCAGTAATTTCACAGGCTGACTCTAGTCGCAGGAGGTTGATTTATAATAATATTACCTTTAATCAACTCGACGATGGCGGCACGACTTGAATTTCTCCCAATCTTAGATTCTGTCTTCACTCTAGAATTATCTATTGTTTATCTAATGTCGTGTGCTGAAGAAACAAATCTCACGTCGTTGAGGTTCCAAGAATCTTGACTTGTCTAAATTCTGGTTCCGTCTTTCAACACTGGACCAATTCTACTATAAACCACGGATGATGCCTCGCAGATTCCAAAACAATTCGCCATAAACTAAACATCCATAAATTTATTCCAATTCTTGATGAATTATCCAAAAGAAAATGGCGCTCCTCAACTCTACGTCGATCCCAAATCGAAAATATTTGATTTATTTTACTGTCACTCAGGCATTCCAAAACATTTAGTTTAAAAGTAAAAATATTTGGATTCGAATCTTGTCAAAAACACAACGTCGACTATTAGTTTGCATTTTCTACTGACACAGGAATTTTTATTTTACATTTCTACATAACGTTTGATACAAGCTGTCAATCACAGACATTATTAGATGTTGATTGGTTATCGTGGAACGATTCCTGAAAGTTGAACCAATCAAAGAACTCGCACCTTGTCTACTCCACGCCTACTGTTACAACTACCACGCCCACTGTTAAAACCAATATTCTTATCAATAATATTGTTAAACTTTCAATTAGTTAATAAAAGAAAAACGATTGAGTTTCGCGTGTGGGCTTCTAGGAAAATACACGATCGCGCACATGAACATGTAAAATGTAGAGATTGTAATGTAAAGATGGAATGATAATCTGGTATTGTATTAGGCGATTCCAATCTTTTAATAGACACATTTTACTCTGAGGCAGGCTGCTTTCTCTCTGTCGAAACTTGAAAATTATCAGCTAGATTATTTCAATGTTAAAAACATTTCTAACATTATTTTGCACTTGACACATTAATTGGTGAATTTTGTGAATATTTTTCTCTTCTAATTTCAATTAAAAGCAAGTAAAAGACTCTCATTTTCAGACGAGATAGTTGTATTTGATTTCAGTGTTTTTTTAAAAGGTTAAAAAAATTTAGACGCTTGATTTACTGCACGATTCCGTCTGCTTTGATTCCTACTCTTCGAAAGTTATATCGTCTTCATCCCCCGATTTCGATCAATTATCAAAAAAGAAATGATCCCTTTTTCAATTGATCAGGATTACATTATTTTAATATTATTAGACTGGGAAACCCAACACGATACAATAGCAAGAGAAAAGGAAAGAATATTTTTACTATCGTATACAAATTCAATAAAAAAAAAATTAATAAAAAAAATTTGAGAGACTTTTCCCCCAAAAGGATATCCATCTTGAAATTGTGTCACCTTCCGGTACCTGTCAATCAATGCCAGGGATCTGATGTGACAAACGAAATTCACGTGCATCGTAGACTAAATATTGTCATAAACGGTGAATTTCTCACGGTCTGGTCTGGGTAATAAAATATGATAACTGTATATTCATAGAAATAATTTATTCATTCCTTTATTCACTTATTCATATAAATTTCAGTAAAACTTATAACCTTCCAGTTTTGCAATGAAATTAAGTACTTAACGATTTTCAGACGGCGATATTGATAAATTAAAAGTTACCAAAATATTGTAGAGTAAATAAAATGATTTTCTTTTTGTTTCGGGGCTGATAAAGAGGGACAACCACTTACACAACACAAAAGGGATTTGTGCACATCGTTGCTTTACGCGATCATTCAACTGCAAAGCCTGTACCACAGGGGCCTCGGTGATTGTACTATCTGAACGACGAGCTTCCATGTCAGCCCCTTCGACCTTCATCACAGCCTTAAGCCGGGACAGGAGTCGGGGCGTAAAATCTGAGTGTATCTTCTCGACTTTTTCTGGGATCGAATTCCGAAGTTGTAAATTAGTGAGTAAGCGTCTGGCTCCAAAGAGGTATGTAACTTACCACTTTCTAAAACCAGAAAATGGTAAGCTCTGTAAAAGAGGAATGTATTCTAAACTTTTATTTGTATCAGGGACACTGACACTGCATCGATTGGTATCATCGATCGATTTCAATCGGACGTTTATGGGTTTTGAAAGGGCTGTCGTTAGACCCTAACTGAAGTGGCTATAAAAAAACCGAACGAATGTTTGGTCTCATTTTGACTGCAAACATAGTCTCGCTGAGAGACCTCAATTGTTTTCTTTCATTGCGAAGAAATCACAGGTCGGTTAAGACAATTTTTTTTAAACTTTTACAAAAGTTTACATTATTTCTAGGCAAAGACAATACATTAGAACACTAGCTTTAAGCTTTCAAATGTTTGATGGTTTTGTTAAATGGCGGAAATCAGACGTGAGAAGACGAGGAATAATAGTGGTCTGGGTCCTGCTGTGATCTACACGAACAAATGAGATATTAGATTCTTAAAATGGGTTAAAAAACAAACAAGAGCTGAAGAAACTTGATTTTAGATGGAAGGATAAGAAAAAGCCGGTACCAAATTTCTTTCATCTCGCCGACATCCCCTCACAGTATGCTCAGATCATTTGTGAAAAATAAACATTATTTTCTTCACTGGATAAACAAACAGAGATTTTATTTCCATCTCGAATATCAAGTCATAGTGTATATCAATTCAACATTTAATTATTTTACAAGTATCACTGCTCTCGAACAAAAATAAATACATTTTAACAGCATTTTTACCATTTTATTCTTTCGTTTACTGTTTCCTGGTTGGACGGGTCGTTTAGTGAACATCCAGTACATCTATTTTACTGAAGGCGCTGGAAAAGGGGTCTAGACGCTGGAGTAAGACAATAAATCTAGACTTCTTGTGATACAAGGCTGTGTCTATACGAACAAAAGTAAAATAGGATAGCTGTTCTGACTGAATTGGAATGGTTTCTACAAAATTTTGAATGGCATAACAAAATCGAAAGAATCGTCATCATCATAACCTTGTCTTCTTTGTGACTGAACGACAGACTGAAGCCCACTCGGATAAATTCATAATTTCGAATTACATATTTCAAAGTAGACAATTCTTTATTTTACCGCCGGTGATTTTGTAAGTCAGTCCAGGGTGCACTTTCAATCCGTCATAGGAATCAGGAAACGAAATGACAACAACTTTTATTCAATTTGAAAACTATCTCCAAACAGAGTCTAAAGAATTCCTGATTCTGATTTCTGTATTTTTGTACATTAACCATTGTTGTTCCAGTCCATCCGCAAATAAAAAAAATCCGTATAATTAAAGACGCCACCAGAAAGTTTGAGTTTGACCGAATTTCAAACGAAACGAAAACCCTCCAAGTAAAGTGACCCATCTCACCAACAAGTGTAAAGACCTGCTAGGAATTTCAATATCAAACACTCATTACAAACTTGTCAATTCTGGTTTCGCCATCAAAAATGGCGGCGATGAGAAAAGAAAGAGAGAACTGAACATGGTTCACCTGAAATCTAAACAAGAAAATGGCGTGAAACCTGACAAGCGGAAAGTGTGTAATGGTGAGATGTGTCTGGTGAAATAGTTCTAAAAGCCGAGATGAAGAGAATCTCGGGTTCAAAACATATGGTGAAGACGGAACTCGAGCTGAAGGGTGTGGGGACCAAACTATTTAAATATTATTCAATTAGAACCCACAGTTTGTTTAAGAAATACGCGTACATTTCGTGTGCTTTGAGTTCGGGTATAATCTTTTTCGAAGACCAATGCGTTCACAAGTAAACTCGAACTCAGATATTGTCATTATGAGCTTTAAGATTTAAACCACCACGAACTAGGTTTTGGACAAAGAGGGAGCTGTGGGTATTAGTAACTCTCAAATTGGGTTCACCGGGAAAAAGGGATCACAAGCCAACTTAAGGATAATTTTTGTAAATATACAATGTGCACTAAACAAAGAGGCATGCTTATAATTGCGTTCAATTTGAACCATCCTGCTACCTCAAAAACGACCAAATGTGCTCAGAAGGCACTTATCGAGGTTGATTACTAGATCTAAGACAATGTTTGCATTAATGGAAAGATATAAGTATATCGAGTTTGGTGTAACACGTGTGTGTTGCTATTCCAAACTTTGTCCACAGAAAATCATCAAAACCCAATAATTTTCAAATCAATCTAAACACATGACGTCATCAAGATAACACGTGCACTAAAGAGCCCGATTATTACACGGTTGTCGTGTGACGTGTACCGGTGTGATGACGTAATAATAATTAAATAATTAGTGACGTATTAATTAGATTAAAGCTTAATGAGTAAATAGTATATGAGGATTGTTTATCAATATATAATGATGTAGAGAGATTCTTGTGTTTGTTATTCAATGTAATATCTGTATATTTATAAATAATGTCTAGTTTGAGACGGTACAGAATAGAGACCCACACAAACTCAGATAGCTGGATGATTGCACCGTGCATTCGATATGAAATAGGGCTTTTAAATCCTACTTCTCTGCCACTGATATCGCTAATAAAACCTTTTCTTCTCGGCCGCTATAAAACG